AGCCTCTGTTTTATGCCCAGTGACTCTGATTTTCTGGGTAGTCTTCAGTAAGTCATTTATTTACTCTGCTATGCCTCAGTTTCCCATCTGCAAGATGAAGACGATATCTCAAAACAGCGTTGTGCAGCTTGTTAAGAACGCTAAGATCCTTTTGAATGAAAGAAATGATAGCAGCACAAAATATTTCTGTGCCTTTTAAGGCAAAGTATGCTAGGGAGGCCCCCCTCCCCCCCAAGGAAGTGGAAGAACATCATACCTGAATGGCTTTTTGTTTCAATTGCAAATCTGACCAATGATGGAACCTTCAGTGAACCTAGTACTCTACAGAACAGCCGCCCCTGTTCCTCAAAGGGAAGGTAGAGGGTTTTGTGCCAGGGTGGATTGATTTAAATCAAGTTACCAAGAAAGCTAAGGCTGACTGTGCTTAGAGTGCACTTTATTTTGGCGTAAGCCCCACTGAACTCACTGGCACTTGTGTTTTTTGAGAACACAGGTATAGAACAGAGGTCTCTTGGAAAAGCTGAGGTATGCTGAAGCAAAATAGATGGTAGACTTATGGGATGGCCATCATGTTTCAAAATAAGGGGCATGTATTATGTAATATAAAGTAAGAAAATGACACTCAGTGGCCACTCTAGTTTTTGCTTCCTGCACCTTTCTGTATTGTATACTCGAGTGAGATTCTAAACCTAGTTAATCAATTAAACAAGCCATAAGGATTAGCCAAGCTAAACTTTTTTTTTCTAGCAACATACAACACCACAACCAACTTGGGAATTTACTTTACAGATCACCCTTATACTAAAAGGCGTAGAGAGAGTCTTGAAGAATGTTGCATTGCAAAGTGAATTCTTTAAGTTGACCCGCTCAGCCCTATCCACATCTTTATCCACATCATTTTCTCCCAATAAGCAATTTTCCTTACGATGTTTCATTCTTGCAAGTTGGCCCTGCCTCATCTTCTTGCACTGCTTACACTGGACACATTTTCCTTTTGGACACAGGGAACAAATTTCTTCAAAATATTCCCAGAAAGGATCTCTCTTAGGCCCAGAAGCCAAGACAGATTTTCTGTGGCAAAAGTGGGGGGAGGGAATCTAGGGAGCTCTCTGTGTGCAGAATAAAGTCTTTCCTTTTCTTTTCCAGTCTGCTCCAATGTTCCTTTCTATGCAACCTCCCTCCTTTCCTATAGAGTCTCTCTGTCTTTAGACAATGTCTTAACTACAGTAAAACTCTGATGGTCCGGCACCATCAGGAACCCGGAAGTACTCCGGGCAGCCGGACCATTGGAGCTGCTCTGCTCCCAACTTCCCGGATTCAGCCGCTGCTAAAACTGACCAGCAGCTGAATCCGGGAAGCCGGGGGCAGATCAGCTGGAGTGCTGCCGGGTAGGTACCGTAGTGCTGCCCCTTGCTCTTGGGGATGCCTGGGGCAGAGCAGCTGGGGTGCTGCTGGGTTGGTCCCTGCAGCACCGCACCTCGGCGCTGTGGGACCAATCCGGCAGCATCCCAGCTGTCCCCGATTCAGCCACCGCTGAAACTGACCAGCGGCTGACTACAGGAAACCCGAGGCAGAGGGGACCAACCAGACAGCACCCCAGCTGCTCTGCCCCAGGCGTTCCCAAGATCCCTGGATCCCAAAGGTGCCGGATTATTGGAAGTTTACTGTAACTCCTCTGCCAAGGTCCAGCGCCACCTAAGCACAGAGCAAAACCAACCCCATCCAGCTTGTCTGTCTTTGCACATGCTACTTTTTAGCCTGCTGAGAAACAGAAATTGAAAACCCCGGACTTTCAAGAGGCAAGAGCTAGTGTTAGGCTGGACAGACTAGAGCCATTCATTCATTTTTTTGAGAATGTAAATGTATGTGCAGCATTTTTGCAATGAGATTTAATTGTAACTGTTTTTAAATGAGAAAATTAGAAAAAAAAAAAAAAAAAAACCTCCAGGCATTTTTAAAATTATTTTTAAATTAAGTTTTATCCAGCTGGTTTGTGTATCTTTTTTTCCTCTGTGTAAAGAAGAGCTAAAAACATATACATATTGATAACAAGCAGACTAGCAGGAAAGGCCTGGCCTTCTCCAGCCAAATAAGGGGGACTCTTTAGGATCTATGATGTGGATTGGGAGCACTCAGTACCCTGCATTCCCTAGTCCTGTCTCCCGCCTGCCTGTAGAGTTTGTTTTACTTGGATATTCATTTTAAAAGCTGCTCGGTTTTATCAACTGAATGAAAAGCACATCCCTTTGTCAGACTTCACTCCTAATGGCATTGCCCTCCTAGTTCGCTAGTACACAAGAAACCTGCAGAAACTTGCTTTTTTAAAAAAAATTTTTTGGAAGTGCAAAAAAAAAAAAAAAAAAAAAAAACACCTTCCAGCTCCCCTGAACGTTAGAAACATGCACAAGCTCAGTGTCTCACCCTCTCCTTTTCACGCTTTTTTTTTTTTTTCAAAATCCTCTGATCATCAGTGACCCTTTATATTTTAATATTTCCTTGTACAGGAAACCCCCCGAGTTGCGACCCCCTACACACACTTACAACTATTTTTTTTAAGTCCGGAAGGGGCCAACCCCCCCACCGACTTACATCCTTGGCCTGCATTTACGACAGTACATGGCATCTATTGTCAATGAGGGTTCGAGTTGTGATGCCCCCGACTTGTGACGCTTCCCTGGGATCCAGTCGCGTCGCAAGTCAGGGGTCGCCTGTATCCTGCCCCAAGGAGCATGTTTGTACAGGGCCTTGCATGCTTACGCAGCTCTAAATATTTATTAAAATGAAACCCATTTGTAGCCATCAAAGGACTATTAGTATTTTTCTGTTATGCAACTTCCTTTTTCCATACTGTGCTGCTTAATATAGAGGGACTGGGATTTTACTGATGGTCAGTGTAGCCCACACACCTAGTGTGGCTTACTGTCCCATGGAGTGGCACTTAGACCACTTATACCGAGAGATAAGAACAAGGGAACTCTACAGCCTAAGCTGAGAGCGGAAGAGGCTCCTACACTAAGCTCGAGATCCCAGGTTCAAATCCGCCCAGTGGCGGTTACATGAGCAAAGTTTTCTTTGTAACAAAATAATAGTGTTAAAAGAGTACTAGGCTATGCAAGTGACTGCACAGCTGTAGCTCTGCTCTGGAGGTAACGCCTTTTCTGGTGCAACATGAAACGTCATGCACCCTTTAAGATTTGGCATCTAAACAACATGAGAGGAGAGAAACTGCTACCTGGGCTCAACCACCAGGTGAAATTCTTTCTCGTCTTCTCTCGGTGGCCTCTGTGCTGCTGAGCTGCCTCTTTGCTTTACTCAGGAGAACCCATGTGCCAAAGTGAAGTTGGGAGCAGCATTATGTCCTGCTTAGCTATGTAAACAAAACGTGGTTAACTCTCTCCCCCCTCCCCGCCCTACCCAAACAGCTGACTTAAAACAGTTGATTGTTCTTTCTGAAGCTGCAATGTGGCTTCTCCAGGGCGAGGAAAGTGCAGCCTGTTGGGTGATCTGCAGCCAAGAGATGCTGCTGGCGCATTAGAAGCTGGTTGTCTCATGGGACCCCGGCGCAGCATTCCTAGGCGGTGGCGTGCTGCTCCTGTACGCCGAGCTCCTTGCATTGCATGCACAAGGCGCTCCTTGCATCCCTCGTATTCCCCCACTGGCTCCATTTGTTGCCACCCTCCCACACCCTTCTATTTCAGGGGCTCAGTGTGACCTACACCCTCCTCCTCACTTCCGGGGCTCCTCTTCTCCCCAACTACGAGGGCCCCTCATTTCTCCCCCCCCCCCATGAAAGGAACTCCTGTATGCCCCTGTACTAAGAGTAGGAGCGCTTCTCCTCCCTGTGCAGAGAGGAGTTATTTGCATGGTCAACATGTTGGGCAAAGGGGCAGAGAGGAACTAGAGGTATTAGGCTGGGAGGCGTTGGCAAATGCCATCAACCAGCTCCTTGATCAAAAGACCATTGGGCTTAAAGCTGTGGCTCCGCTAGCCAGATGTTAGTGGTTCTGTGTAGGGATGTAAGCAGCTAGTTAGCGATCTGATAATCATAAGATTATCAGATAGTCCACTAGTCCCTTGACTCATCGATCCCTCCCCCCCATTGCTGCCTGTCAGAGGCAGCAGTGAGGGAGCAGGA